TGTGTGACCACTTCCCGTGTGACCAATTCCTGTGTGACCACTTCCCGTGTGACCACTTCCCGTGTGACCACTTCCCGTGTGACCACTTCCTGACACTGGTGAAGGGCACACTGGTGATCCTGTGTGACTACTTCCCGTGTGACCACTTCCTGTGTGACCACTTCCTGTGTGACCACTTCCCGTGTGACCACTTCCTGTGTGACCACTTCCCGTGTGACCACTTCCCGTGTGACCACTTCCCGTGTGACCACTTCCTGTGTGACCACTTCCCGTGTGACCACTACCCGTGTGACCATTTCCTGTGTGACCACTTCCTGTGTGACCACTTCCCGTGTGTGTGACCACTTCCCGTGTGACCACTTGCCGTGTGGCCACTTCCCGTGTGACCACTTCCTGTGTGACCACTTCCTGCTCCCTGCACCAAAATCGGGACCAACACCTTTCATTTCATGTTTTTGAAACCATTGATTTATTTTAAGTGTTACAGTCAACCGTCTGCTGACATACAGAAAAAATCCTATCATATTTTGTTATGGGCATTTGTTATAAAAAGAAATTTCAAGGTTGATTTTTATTGGACTGACCAAGCGATGAAAATATTTTACTTGGGAGATAGTGTGTGTTTAAAAAAGAAATGTAATGAATTAAAATGAAAGTTTTTTTTTGTTTTTTTAAAATAAATTTTACGCGTTAACGTTCCCATTGCATTGGTGTTCAGTGTTGAAATCATATACACAAAAGGCCGAATGTATCCATTTGAACATGCAGCACCAGGCTGCTGACCGTTGCACCAGGCTGCTGACCGTTGCACCAGGCTGCTGACCGTTGCACCAGGCTGCTGACCGTTGCACCAGGCTGCTGACCGTTGCACCAGGCTGCTGACCGTTGCACCAGGCTGATGACCGTTGCACCAGGCTGCTGACCGTCTTATGTGGACTATGGAGTCATATGTGGACTATGGAGTCTTATGTGGATTATGGAGTCTTATGTGGACTATGTGGTCTTATGTGGACTATGGAGTCTTATGTGGCTTGTGGAGTCTTATGTGGACTGTGGAGTCTTATATGGACTATGGAGTCTTATGTGGACTGTGGAGTCTAATATGGACTATGGAGTCTTATGTGGACTATGGAGTCTTATGTGGACTATGGAGTCTTATATGGACTATGGAGTCTTATGTGGACTATGGAGTCTTATGTGGACTATGGAGTCTTATGTGGACTATGGAGTCTTATGTGGACTGTGGAGTCTTATATGGACTATGGAGTCTTATGTGGACTGTGGAGTCTTATGTGAACTGTAGAGTCTTATATGGACTATGGAGTCTTATGTGGACTGTGGAGTCTTATATGGACTATGGAGTCTTATGTGGACTATGGAGTCTTATGTGGACTATGGAGTCTTATGTGGACTATGGAGTTTTATGTGGATTATGGAGACTTATTTTGATTATGGAGACTTATGTGGATTATGGAGACTTATGCGGATTATGGAGTCTTATGTTGACTACGGAGTCTCATTCATATGCTGATATGTCTCCGTCCTAATTTTGTTCCGCTAGTTCTGGAGGAAAAAAAATGTTTCCTTTTCATGATGACCCACCCCCCCCGCCCCTTTCCGCCCCCCTATAACTCCCCCCCCCCCACGCTGCTCCTGTCCTAAGAAAAATCTGCACCTGCCGAACTAAAGTGCAACACTAACAACTACATTCATATGCTGATATGTCTCCGTCCTAATTTTGTTCCGCTAGTTCTGGAGGAAAAAAAATGTTTCCTTTTCATGATGACCCCCCCCTCCCGCCCCTTTCCGCCCCCCTATAACTCCCCCCCCCCACGCTGCTCCTGTCCTAAGAAAAATCTGCACCTGCCGAACTAAAGTGCAACACTAACAACTACTTTCACTCTGGAGAAATGTTCTACTCTATGCTTACACTGATACTAGCAAACCACCGAAGAAGTGGGGGAGGGGGGGGAGATTTGTTGACATGAGTGAACTTTAACCTAAAATACTAATGGCCATTTTATTACTGTACGATCGATGTCATTGAAAAAGCTTTTAAAGCTCGAGTTGAAATATTCAATGCAAATATTTACTTATTACTTTGTTACCTGCAAATACATTGCAAAGTAAGATATAACGAGGTCAAGTGGACACCCCGCCAGAAAAAACCCAACAAAAACTGTCCAGCGTCCTTTAAGTCAGTTCAGTTCTCAAACGTTGGCCATTAGGCAAGGGCAGCGTTTTCTAGTCCACCGGCGTCTACAAACTGTAGACATATGCCTAGGGGGGGGGGTGACCATGCGAGACAGTGATTGACTATGGCTTGATTAAGCAACGAACGTCTCTCTGTGATTGTTGATCAGAGTCAACCCAGGGCTGGAGGGGGGTCAGTACATGGGATATTCGTGCTCCCACCCCACGGAGTGTCATGAAACAATCCTTCTCATTAGGATGTGATCCTACGGGGATGTGGCCCATTGAAAGGGAGCTCACTGGGATGTGTCATTGAGATAACTCTCACCACCTGACCTACCAACAACACCCGCCCCCCCCCCCCCATTTTTTTTCTCCCCTTCCACTTCTGCATCATAGGATTCATTGATCTCTGACATGTTTATTTTTAAGAAAGAAAACTGTTTGGTGCACAGAGTTTTCAACACGGCAAGCAGACAAAGTACCGATTTAAAACAAAGGACCCATATAAAACAAAGTATATAACAAACAATGTAAAGTATTTAAACAAAATGCTAATTTCATCTTTGTGTAATATTTATTTATAACATTGTACACATGAGTGTTGTACACATGAGTGTCAAGATGTGCATCTCTCAAAATGGGTATCTGTATACTGTGCACACAGGATGAGGCGAGGTAAGCAAAATACAGAAAAATCGTACAAGTACACTTGATAACGATACAACAAGGTGTGTACACGTTAATGGAAGGCCGTCCAGAACAGTTCAAAAGTCCACTTCTAGGGGCCAAATGGACAAAGCTATCACAGGATATTATTATACATTTTTACCAAGATTTTGGATTTCCGGACGAGGTAGGGGCAAAGGTGATTTCCTACGTCACTAATGGACATTTTATTTCTAACAGTAACATCCTAATTCTCGTGTAGTTTAACTATATTTTGGGCATCTAGGTCTTTGGGGGGGTGGGGGGTAACTTTCAGGCTGGTCAAGCAGGACTATAAGGTCACAGGTCACCATTTTGTGGACCAGTTGTGCAGCTCTTTCATCTGTAAAAAATCCAAACATGAAATCACTGAGGTTTACAGTTCTTCGTCAAAAGCTGACACCTTGCAATGAGTTGATCTGCATGTCTCTCAAATAGGAGAGATGATTTGACAAGGGCCTATCTGATCCCATACCACAACAGCAACACTCTCACTCACACTGACCCATATACCACAACAGCAACACTCACACTGACCCCATACCACAACAGCAAAACTCACACTGACTCCCTACCACAACAGCAAAACTCACACTGACTCCACACCACAACAGCAACACTCACACTGACTCCATACCACAACAGCAACACTCACACTGACTCCATACCACAACAGCAACACTCACACTGACTCCATACCACAACAGCAACACTCACACTGGCTCCATACATCTATAACAAAATCTACACCTAACTCATTTTATTTCTTAATGAAGACGCGACCAAACTATGGTATGGGCCAAAACTGCGGTATGGGCCAAAACTGTGGTATGGGACCAAACTATAATATGGGACCAAACTATGGTATGGGACCAAACTATGGTATGGGACCAAACTATGGTATTAGACCAAACTATGGCATGGGACCAAAGTATGGTACAGGACCAAATTATGATATAGAACGAAACTATGGTATGGGACCAAACTATGGTATAAGACTAAACTATGGTTCAGGACCAAATTGGGACATGGAACCAAATTATGGTATGGGACCAAATTATTGCATGGGGTCAAATTTTGGTATGGGACCCAAGTAGAGCAAGGGACCAAACTATGGTATAAGACCAAACAATGGTATGGGACCAAACTATAGTTTGGTAGATATTAAAACTTCATTAAAATCAAACTCAAATATATGAGAAAAATAAAGTACAATCTTGAATAAAATTACTAAGAAGAACATAAAGTACAACAACATATGATGAAGTGAAGTATACAACGAAGTACAATAAGAAATACAGAAGAAATACAGAAAGTAAGTACATCAAGAAACTACAACAAAATTACAATAAAGTAAGTACTGGTACAACAGAGGAACAATACCACAAGGTAACATGAAGTGTAGTGACACATTAAAATGTTGGATGAAGCACAATAAATAAAAATGAAGCACTGGTTCAATAAAGAACAATAAATTACAATGAGGAACAACGAGGTACAAGTACAATAAAGAATATTGAATTACATTGAAAGAACAGTTAAATTGAACCAAGTAAAAGAGTAACCTCCTGAGTAGTTCATGTGATTCATGTGAGTCATGTGATTCATGTGTCATGTGATTCATGTGTTGCATGTGATTCATGTGATTCATGTGTTGCACGTGATTCATGTGTTGCATGGGATTCATGTGATTCATGAGATGACAGTTGGGTTCAAAGATCATCTTAGAGATTAAGGCACAGACTTAAGAAAATAAATAAATGGACAAAACTCTTCAAAATACTAAAAACATCCTGGTGAACTGAAGCTAGTCCTCTGTGCTAGTGTTGGAAAGAGTTGAGTTAACATGGAAAAAGAGTGTGTAAATAAACTTGGAGATTATAGGGAAAGATTCATGCTTGAGAACCATCCTCCTCCCCCAAAGGCATAGTTTCTCAGACTCCTCCCCCAAAGGCATAGTTTCTCAGACTCCTCCCCAAGGGCATAGTTTCTCTGACTCCTCCCCCAAAGGCATAGTTTCTCAGACTCCTCCCCAAAGGCATAGTTTCTCAGACTCCTCCCCCAAAGGCATAGTTTCTCAGACTCCTCCCCCAAAGACATAGTTTCTCAGACTCCTCCCCCAAAGCCCAAAGGCATAGTTTCTCTGACTCCTCCCCCAAAGGCATAATTTCTCAGACTCCTCCCCAAAGGCATAGTTTCTCAGACAAATATTCACATGAAAAAAAATATCTGGAAATGACAAATTGGTCATTCAATTGATCCCCTGGTCTTTCAACAACAACCAAAGTTAAGGCCTTATGATCTGGTAAGGCAACAGTGGTCAACACTTGAGAAAGTATGAAGCTTGTGCAACACACACACACCCTCCCAGAAGTCATAGACACACACCGTTCAGGAATCATAAACAATCTTTTATTAACACCCAATCCTTGATCAACACCCAATATTTGATTTACATCAATATACTTGATTTACATCCAATCCTTGATTCACACAGAATTCTTGATTTACACAACCCTCGAGTCTCACATCCCCAATGTCAACCAAAAGGAAAGTTCAAGAGCATTCAAATTATTTTGTTCATTCTAAGGCCCCCTTTTGATGATAGAAATAACAAGAGACTGGCAGGTGAGCAATGTTCAGATAGTTTGATCATGTATGCATATGAAAGAAATGTTAAAGATGATGTAATTGTTTAGTCAAATGTTTGTCTGTGTTGTTAGCATCACCATGGCCTCCAGGTAGAAGTGGCCCTCACAACATTGTTGTATGAACCGGTGTTGTTGTGGACGCTGTTGTTGTAGTTGTAGATGACAGAGCTCAATGGAAACTTTGGGGTCGCTGAGGCTGATGCGGTGGGGTAGTTGGAGCCATCGGCCTGGGATTGTCTTGGGTCAGCCTGAGATTGTCTTAGGTCGGCCTGAGATTGTCTTGGGTCGGCCAGAGATTGTCTTGGGTCAGCCTGAGATTGTCTTGGGTCGGCCAGAGATTGTCTTGGGTCAGCCTGAGATTGTCTTGGGTCAGCCTGAGATTGTCTTGGGATAGATTGAGATTGTTGTTGGTCAGGATGAGATTGTCTTGGATCAGATTGAGATTGTCGTTGGCCAGCATGAGATTGTCTTTGGTCATATGATGTGGGCGATGAGGAGAGATGGGTTGAGGAAGACCTGACCAAGTAAGGCGAGGCTGGACATTTGTAAGGTCCAGTTTTTGAGTGGTCAGTCCTGTGATGTGACCTGGAAGACTTTGTCACCAAGGCGACAGGGCTGGTGTTTGACAAAAGCCTCAATGCTTCTTCTGGGGCGGGGAAATGCTGCTGTGGGGTTCCATGGTTCGGTTCTAGTTTGATGGCACTGTGACCTATTTTTGCATATTCCTGGGAAATGTGCTGTCGGCCCATCTGTTGGTTGGCATACAAGTTCACAGCTGGCATGGCATGGGGAGCCAACACCAGTGCCATCTGGCCTGAGGGGAGAGTACTGGGCACAAGATGGAGCTGGGTGGTTGCCATGGTAGCTATACATGGGAGCTGTGTGCCCATGCTGGGGCTTCCGCCCGTTGCTATGGGAGACTGAAAGGCTGTTGGCGAGTCTGCAGTCGACAGGACATTCTTTTTATCCACAGCGGTGCTGGCGTTGTGGTAGGCGGAGACCATGGGCTGGTTGTTGTTGGTGTCTATGGTCAAAATTTGTGTCGGGCTTGTCAGAAACACCCCTTGCTGTTGTTGCTGCTGTTGCTGCTGTTGATGGTGTAGCTGAAGCTGTTGAAGCTGCTGCAGCTGCTGTTGATGAGATGGTGCAGGGAGAATCGGGGTGTGGCCCTGCTGGATCGGCAGGGTGTTCAGAGGTGTGAGGATGGAGGCCAGGTGAGACAGGATGCGAGCCCGTGCGTCGTCATTGACGCCCTGGGACTCGGTCAGGTAGCGCATCACCTCGTTGGCACATTCGTTGAACCCGGCCCTGTACTTGGTGATGGAATCTGGAACCTGGTACATTCCTGGAGAATCAAGGAGAAACATAAATTAAAACATGATTTCCCTCACTATTCTATTCATCAGGATAAAAGATTAGGACAGCCTCATATGCTCAAGACATGTGGGGATAACTCTGTATATTTGCCAGGAGGAAAAAGTAAATATTTAAATACATTGAAATGGGGCATTGGTAGTGTGGGGCATTGGTTGCCAGGACATTCGTAGACAGGGGCATTGGTAGTCTATGGCATTATTAGACTGTGGCATTGGTAGTCTGGGGCTTTGGTAGCCAGGGCATTGGTGGACAGGGCATTGTTAGCCTGGGGCTTTGGTAGCCAGGGCATTGGTAAACAGGGGCATTGTTAGCCTGGGGCATTGGTAGCCAGGGGCATTGTTAGACTGTGGCATTGGTAGTCTGGGGTTTTGGTAGCCAGGGCATTGGTAGACAGGGGCATTGTTAGCCTTGGGGCATTGATAGCCAGAGCATTGGTAGATAGGGGCATTGTTAACATACCATTATTTAAGGCTAGAATAAGCTTGACAAAAGCTACATTACAACTAAATATACGGATGAAAAATGAAAACGTTATGTTGCCAAATGTATGGCCGAATAGAAAAACTAATGTGAAAAAAACCTACAACAAAAGAACACACAGGGCCTACAACAAATGAACACATGACATACAACAAATGAACACATGACCTACAACAAATGAACACACGGGGCCTACAACAAATTAACACATGACATACAACAAATGAACACACAGGGCCTACAACAAATTAACACATGACATACAACAAATGAAAACATGACCTACAACTAATGAACACATGACCTATAACAAATGAACACAGGATCTACAACAAATGAATACATGACCTATAACAAATGAACAAAAGCTCTACAACAAATTAACACATGCCATACAACAAATGAAAACATGACATACAACAAATGAAAACATCACATACAAAAAACACAGGGCCTACCACAAAAGAACACATGACCTACAACAAAGGAACACAGGGCCTACCACAAATGAACACATGACCTACAACAAATGAACACAGGGCCTACCACAAATGAACACATGACCTACAACAAATGAACACAGGGTCTACAACAAAAGAACACAGGGCCTACCACAAATGAACACAGGGCCTACAACAAATAAACACATGAACTACAACATAAACTGACCATTGATCTGAAATCTCTGCACGTTTTTCAAATGTTTGACCGTCAGCTCCAGTATGTCAGCCTTCTCCAGCTTGGAGTACTGGGAGTTCTGAAATGTTTGGCAGTGGTCCTTGTTAGTTTCGTTGGTAGAGACAAGTACAGCTATAACACAAACAAACACACATAGAGTACTATAAGAACAAATGTTGACATTAGTTCGTCCTTCCGCCCTTTGCTTTTAGACTACTGGAATTTTCGACTTGAGCACAACACAGTTGTTATATCTTGCCAATGGACGTCTCATCATTGAGTGCAATACTTGTAAAAGTAGAATACCCTGAAATTATAGCTATGTGCCCGGAACTTGTTCTTTCCCGTTTCGTTTTATTCAATACATATGGCATATTATGGTATAGTACGGTATGAATAGTATGGTGTAGTATGGTATAGTACGGTATGAATAGTATGGTGTAGTATGGTATAGTACGGTATGATATAGTATGGTGCAGTATGGTATAGTACGGTATGATATTGTATGGTGTAGTATGGTATAGTACGGTATGATATTGTATGGTGTAGTATGGTGTAGTATGGTATAGTACGGTATGATATTGTATGGTGTAGTATGGTATAGTACGGTATGATATAGTATGGTGTAGTTTGGTATAGTACGGTATGATATAGTATGGTGTAGTATGGTATAGTACGGTATGATATAGTATGGTGTAGTATGGTATAGTACGGTATGATATAGTATGGTGTAGTATGGTATAGTACGGTATGATATAGTATGGTGTAGTATGGTGTAGTACGGTATGATATAGTATGGTGTAGTATGGTATATAATATATAGTATGCATGGGCGCCCACAGAAAACTTTCCGGGGGGGGGGAAACATTTTTTAGTAATGTTTTAATATAGTTTTAATTTACTGTAGCGTATTTGTATGGTGAACGAACGGACAGGACATCAGCTTAGTTACTTTCTCTTTATTTTCTCTTTACTTTAATACATTTTTTGTCTATTAATTTACTGTAGCGTATTTGTATGGTGAACGAACGGACAGGACATCAGCTTAGTTACTTTCTCTTTATTTTCTCTTTACTTTAATACATTTTTTGTCTATTTTTGTCTAAATTTTTTTATCCAATCAATCCAGGGGGGGGGGGCAAGTGCCCCTCCTCACTTGCCCCCCCTGCGGGCGCCCATGATAGTATGGTATATAATATATAGTATGGTATATAATATATAGTATGGTATATAATATATAGTATGGTATATAATATATAGTATGGTATATAATATATAGTATGGTATATAATATATAGTATGTAAAATTTAATATAAATTCAATGAACCTTTTTTTTTTTTTTTACTCCATAGATGTGTAGCTGAAGCAATCGCGTAGTCAGGGCGTCGCTAACTCTGGCTACGCCCCTGAGCCGAAGCTATTCTGTCATGAAATAGAGGCCTATCAATATCCACTGCCTTTAAATCTACTGAAGCTTTATGGGAGTCGAAATGTTTAGACGTGTTAGGTAGTGGTCGGGGTAGGACCGCATTTTTCTTCAACGTCAACCCTCTTCTCACGACCCTCGTCAGAAATATCAACAATCAGGCCACCACGTATCAACAATCCCGTCCCCGAAGTGGTTTCAAACTCACGCCTTTCATCTCTAACACGCAAACACCTAATCTGTCCCCGAGACTCGACCACTCTCTCACAGTTTAATAACCTGGGCCTCACTTCAATTCCCCACAGAACGAGCCCCCGTAAGCTAAAGGGAAGGTCAAGGCCATCACATTGTGTTTTTTACTCATAACGTGTACGGCAACACAAGTTAGGACTGGGGGGGGGGTCATCGGGGGTCCACGACCGAATTTGTTTCTATTGAAAGATTAACCGTTCAAAATTTATTAACGAGAATCAGGATAAATGGGGACCACAATCAGTCAGGGAGACCGCAATCAGTCAGGGAGACCGCAATCAGTCAGGGAGACCGCAATCAGTCAGGGAGACCGCAATCAGTCCCACTCACTAACCGCTATGTTCCCGGCTACCGCAGTGTCCGCGCGGACCCCGAGTCACCAAATAGACCCCGAGGGGATCATAAAATTCAAAAAGATCGTAGATAACACATGTTTGTATTTCCTACAAACAAGCCAGGAGTTTAGGGGGCAAACATTTCATGCAGACACCCGGGTATCGACTGGCGGTCGTGATTAATGACTGAGGAGATGTCCATCGGGGTGGGGGGAGGGGTGTGTGGTTACTGCCCCCCTTGGAAGTGTGGTTGGAAACGGGAATGCTTACTTTTCGATGGCATCTAACCCTTGACCTTGGTGACCTTAAGAGGTTTGGTGTTATGGAGTTAGAATGGATGGACATGTACAAGTGTTTTTAAACAGACATTTCAACTTTCTCCCTGTCATTTTTCCAACCCTACCCCCTCCCCTCTACCAATCCTAAGATCAGTACTCTTTCAAACAATCTCTCTCTCTCCCCCAACCCCCCCCCACCCACCCCCACCCGAAGACTCTGGGTCTGTCGGCCCACCCAACAAAAAAAAAAATCACCTATCTGTTGTAATAAGAAGACAGTGTTGATTGGCTACTTACATCTTTCTTCATGGCCTGGAGTACCAGAGACTTGAGCTGTGAGAGACATGAGTTGATTCGGGCTCTTCTCTTCTTCTCCATCAGGGGCTTGTTGCTCTGTGAGAGGGTAAGAGAGGAGAGATACAGTTAGACAAGGAAATACATAAACTGCTATGCGGCCATGGATACGAAGGCCTCCCCCTCCCCCCGTAAACTCCCCCCCTCCCCACTTTGCTACCTTCTAGGCAGACCGTTGCAAGATTCATGCCTATCATTTGTAAACGTACACCAAAAATTAATTGACCTTAAGTGAAAGCGCTATCTATGTATGTTTGCGGTGAAGTGGCCGAACGCCTCTAGGCGGTGGTGCCACATGGGATTTTGCCTCTTCGTGGCGTGGACGACTAGTAGAGGGGGGGGGGGGGGACTCCCCGAAGCTAAACAATACCGACCCACTTGCATGACCTTCCAACGCAACGGAAGGCTCGCACTAATATGGTTACTTTTGCCGTAAACCCTTGTCAATGATTAAAAAGACGCGGCCCTGAGAAAGCCGCCCCTAGGCGACCGTTTCGTCCCCGCTACGTCCCGACCGGACAGCTCCCTGGGCGGTGGGGAGTGGTAACGCAACACCACCTCTCCGGAGAGGAAGTAAAGCCGTCCTGACCCATAGGAGAGTGGACTGCGGACGCTTTAATAAACGCAGCGTTTTCGGTCGACCGGATGTCCCTCAGAACCAGGAGGGAGGTTCCTGGCGCGCTTCCGCACGGTTTGGAGTCTCACCTCTGGCCCGTGTGGGGGAGTGCCGGGGGGGGATATTATGAGTGCAAACTCGATGACCCACCAACACCATCTCCAAAGTGACGTTATTAGTATGAGTAGCCGTGTGTTCAGCTACAGCTGAAGCGTCTCCGAGGAAACTTGGAGGCGTCCACATGGGGTTTTGCCTCTTCGTGGCGTGGCAGACTAGAGGGTTCCATCCTGAAGCTGAAAACGCAACGGGAGTAACGCAATAACATGATTACTTGTTGCCGTTAATGGATTTGAGGTCTGGGTGGCGGTAAAAACCCATTTCGATTATTTTAGCTACGCGGCCCTGAGAAAGCCGCTCCTAGGCGACCGCTTCGTCCCAGCTTTCTTCTCGACCGGACAACTCCCTGGACGGTGGGGGGGGGACGCAACACCTTGCCCCCGGAGAGGAAGCAAAGCCGTTTAGACCCAAGGAGAGTGGACCGCGAACGCTTTAAATGCAGTGTTTTCAGTCGACCGGACGTCTCCCAGGCCATGGGGGAGGTTCCCGGCATGCTTCCGCATGGCCTGGCGGCCGGGAGACCCGACGTCAGCCCGTCTGGGAGTGTGCCGGGGGGGAGGGGTGTATTATGAGCTCGCGCTCGACGACCCACCGACAGACGCCATCTCCAAAGTGACGTAACCCAAGTCCAACTAACAAGTCTCTGAAAGAAACACCCATACTACAAGACGGTTAACTTGCGCGTTTCTATGTATAAGTGTAGTAGACATGTGCTGTTTGAACTGTGTGCTGTTTGTAATGTGTGCTGTTTGTAATGTGTGCAGTTTGTAATGTGTGCTGTTTGTAATGTGTGCTGTTTGTAGGGTGTATTATGTGCTGTTTGAGCTCCGGATTCCACTGTAACAGTGTTACATTTTACCTCTAGAAAATACAACATTACTTACAGTAAATATTGTAGCTATTGTTGATATTGTAGCTGTTTTTAAAGTTGATATTGTAGCTATTGTTGATATTGTAGCTGTTGTTGATATTGTAGCTGTTATTAATGTTGATGTTGTATATATTGTTGATTTTGCTGAGCTCTTAAAAATGGAAGAGAGAAAAACAACCAACCAAACAAACAACAATGTGTGTAACATATTCTTGAAGAGATGCATCATACCCTTAGTCCTTTAGGATTACCATACCCTGAGTCCTTTAAGATTATCATACCCTAAGTCCTTTAGGATTATCATACCCCGAGTCCTTCACGATTATCATACAATCAGTCCTTCATGATTATCATACCTTAAGTCCTTCATGATTATCATACCCTCAATCCTTCATGAATGATAATCATACTATCAGTCCTTCATGAATGACTATCATACCTTCAGTCCTTCATGAATGATTATCATACCCTCAGTCATTCATGATTATCATACCCCCAGTCCTTCATGATTATCATACCCTCAGTCCTTCATGACTATCATACACTCAGTCCTTCATGATTATCATACCATCATGCCTTCATGATTATCATACCCTCAGTCCTTCATGATATCATACCATCAGTCATGATTATCATACTCTCAGTCATGATTATCATACCCTCAGGTCTTCATGATTTTCATACCCTCAGTCATTCATGATTATCATACCCTCAGTCATGCATGATTATCATACCCTCAGTCCTTAATGACTGTCATACCCTCAGTCCTTCATAATCATCATACCCTCAGTTCTTCATGTTTATCTTCCATCAGTCCTTCATTGAATGATTATCATACCCTCAGTAGGTCATGAATGACTGTCATACCCTGAGTCCTTCATGATTATCATACCCTCAGTCCTGCATGATTATCAGACCCTCAGTCCTTCATGAATGATTATCATACCCCCAGGCCTTCATGATTATCATACCCTCAGTCCTTCATGATTATCATACCCTCTGTCCTTCATGAATGATTATCATACCCTCAGTCCTTCATGATTATCATACCCTCAGTCCTGCATGATTATCATACCCTCAGTCCTTCATGATTAGCATACCCTCTGTCCTTCATGAATGATTATCATACCCTCAGTCCTTCATGATTATGACACTATCAGTACACCAAAAGTTATTTCAACCACGAAGTGAAAATCAGTGACGTCATCGTCTGGTCTTTTTGTTCTAACGGCTCTGATAGTACAGATCAAGAACACCTGAACCAAAAGGTAGGCTAATCACAATGTGTCGTGGTTCCATTTCTGCCCGCCTACTACCTGCCTACCTGTCACTCACCTTTCTGTAGTTCGCCTTGTCCTCCATCCCATCGGGGCTCAGCTCTCTGGATGATGACGTGGTAGAGGCCGACGACGTCACATCTGTCTGGGTCATCATGGGTGACGTGAGAGATCGATGAGCTGCCACGGGAGTTGACTGCACCACGTCACAGCATCGAACCAACTCCCGAAACTTCCAGATTCGATCTCACGCCTCAGTTACCGAGTATCGATTTTTTTTTAAAAAATCAATCAATCAGTCAACTGTAGAGCTGGATTCGACAACCGTTGAAGAGCTCTGAGTGTACTACGCTTGGGCTAGCAGCAACTCTCTTTTACCACCGACGGTCGTAAGATTATTAAGAACACACACATTTAATTGAATGAATAATTCAAATATTGGACAGTAAATCACAAGGCACTGCCAAAGTGGCGGACTTCAAGGCACTGGACACAGTGTAGTGGTATCCGAAAAATCTCACTTGTCCCTCAAACCTCCACTATGACCAATGAACTGATTGGCACCCAATCATCAAGAGATTAAACAGTAGTATAGTATTGAAGTTTCTTCAGTTCCAAAAACAGTCTGTTTCTATATTATGATTGTCTGCTTCTAATCCAACAGGTTGCCTGCGAGTCCGTCCGAGCCGTACGTTCCGAAGTGAAACCCAGCGCACGTAGACTTGGGGCGGAGAAAAGAATCACGAGATGGTGGTGCGATGTATGGAAGTCATCATAGCATGAAACCGACAAGAACAACGCTGTATCCCTTGTGTCCCACAGATGTGAAAGTAGTTGGTCGTCGGTACACGTCCACGGGAACACAGACCCAGACACTATAACCTGACTGTGCCCACGGGAGTAATGGACCGGTCCGACCGTGGGACTCAAACCTTAAATCCGACATTTCACTTCTGTCAGGAAGAGGGGAGGGGGGAGGAGGGAGTTGGAGGTAATCAACAAGTTGCAAGGGGAGAGGGTAGTGGGAGGGGGAGATTGGTGGACCTCGTTTAAGTTAACACCATCAGCTGGTTACATTTGGGTTCATTTTTAAGACCTGGTTTGGGGGTTGGGGGGGGGGGTGGGGAAGGGTTGGGGAAGCGTAACGAGGTGGCGCTGGGATAGGCAAACACAAAACGCCGTCGGTGTCCACTTCCTTTTCATCACCCCCACCCACCCTCAACCTTTACACANCCCCCCCCCCCATCATCACAAATCTCCCACTATCGCTGTGGGTCAGTTCTCGCTGGCAATGACAAGCGCCGGTGTGAAGCAACAAGTCGCTCCGTTCCCACGCTCGCGAGCCTCCGAAACCGCCAGCCAATGGGAACTTCCGGAATGTGCCGAGCTCGCTTCGACACCCTTCGGCTCGTGCAACACCGTGTCCTGATTGGCCCGGGGCACGTTTTTTTCCCCCTTTTCCTTTCACCGGGAAAGGGGAATCCCCCATGCCTCCCTTGCCGTGAGATTTGGTCGCGTCAATCAGGATCGGGAGTGCTTGTCAATAAATAGTCCTCGCGTGCCTAAAGTGGCTTGTGTGGGGCCGAGTGGCTCATGGGAAAACTCCGCCCCTTCCCTACCACACCGAGATTTTTGTCCCACAGGTGGTTTCAGTACCAAAAGGAGAGTTTTGACTGCCTGGATAAGCGACATTCTCATGTCCTGAATAGCTCTACAAGAGATCTCGTGGATATTGAAACAACAAACCCATATGGCGTGACGAATAAGTTAGTTGACAGAGCAGGGAGCAATCAACGCTCTTGCATATGGTTTATATTAGAGATGGACATGGGACCTTTCAGCACACGTACATTTAGTTTATATTAGAGATGGACATGGGACCTTTCAACGCATGTACATTTAATTTATACTAGAGATGGACATGGGACCTTTCAACACATGTACATTTAGTTTATACTAGAGATGGACATGGGACCTTTCAACACACGGACATTTAGTTTATACTAGAGATAGACATGGGACCTTTAAACACACGGACATTTAGTTTATACTAGAGATGGACATGGGACCTTTCAACACATGTACATTTAGTTTATACTAGAGATGGACATGGGACCTTTCAACACATGTACATTTAGTTTATACTAGAGATGGACATGGGACCTTTCAACACATGTACATTTAGTTTATACTAGAGATGGACATGGGACCTTTCAACACATGTACATTTAGTTTATACTAGAGATGGACATGGGACCTTTCAACACATGTACATTTAGTTTATACTAGAGATGGACATGGGACCTTTCAACACATGTACATTTAGTTTATACTAGAGATGGACATGGGACCTTTCAACACATGTACATTTAGTTTATGCTAGAGATGGAAATGGGACCTTTTAACACATGTACATTTAGTTTATACTAGAGATGGACATGGGACCTTTCAACAAATGTACATTTAGTTTATACTAGAGATGGACATGGGACATTTCAACACATGTAAATTTAGTTTATACTAGAGATGGACATGAGACCTTTCACCACATGTACATTTAGTTTATACTAGAGATGGATATGGGACCTTTCAAAACGCTTAAAAGTAGTTTATTTTAGAGCTGGAGATAGGACCTCTCAAGCTACACACAATTGGTTTAGAGATGGGAGCATTTAACACACATATATCGACTTTTAATGAAGTTGAACATTGTCTTATATCAGAGTTGAACATTGTCTTATATCAGAGTTGAACATTGTCTTATATCAGAGTTGGACATTGTCTTATATCAGAGTTGGACATTGTCTTATATCAGAGTTGAACATTGTCTTATTTCAGAGGTGGACATTGTCTTATATCAGAGTTGGACAGTGTCTTATATCAGAGTTGGACATTGTCTTATATCAGAGTTGGACATTGTCTTATATCAGAGTTTGACATTGGCTTATATCAGAGTTGAACGCTGTCTTATATCAGAGTTGGACATTGTCTTATATCAGAGTTGAACATTGTCTTATATCAGAGTTGAACATTGTCTAATATCAGAGTTGAACATTGTCTTATATCAGAGTTGGACATTGTCTTATATGAGTGTTGAAAATTGTCTAATATCAGAGTTGGACATTGTCTAATATCAGAGTTGGACATTGTCTTATATCAGAGTTGGACATTGTCTAATATCAGAGTTGGACATTGTCTTATATAAGAGTTGGACATTGTCTTATATCAGAGTTGGACATTGTCTTATATCAGAGGTGGACATTGTCTTATATCAGAGTTGGACATTGTCTTATATCAGAGTTGGACATTGTCTTATATCAGAGTTCGACATTGTCTTATATCAGAGTTTGACATTGCCTTATATCAGAGTTGAACATTGTCTTATATCAGAGTTGAACATTGGCTTATATCAGAGTTGGACATTGGCTTAGATTAGAGTTGGACTTTGGCGTATATCAGAGTTGGTATTGGCTAATATCACAGTTTAACATTGTCTTATATGAGAGTTGAACATTGTCTAATATCAGAGTTTGACATTATCTTATATGAGAGTTGAACATTGTCTAATATCAGAGTTGGACATTGTCTTATATGAGAGTTGAACATTGTCTAATATCAGAGTTTGACATTGTCTTATATCAGAGTTGGACATTGTCTTATATCAGAGTTGGACATTGTCTAATATCAGAGTTGGACATTGTCTAATATCAGAGTTTGACATTGTCTTATATCAGAGTTGAACATTGTCTTATATCAGAGGTGGACATTGTCTTATATGAGCGTTGAACATTGTCTAATATCAAAGTTGAACATTGTCTTATATGAGAGTTGAACAATGTCTAATATCAGAGTTGAACATTGTCTTATATCAGAGTTTGATATGTCTTATATGAGAGTTGAACATTGTCTAATATCAGAGTTTGACATTGGTTTTTATCAGAGTTGGACATAGGCTTATATCAGAGTTGAACATTGTCTAATATCAGATTTGAACATTGACTTATATCAGAGGTGGACATTGTCTTATATGAGAGTTGAACATTGTCTAATATCAGAGTTGGACATTGTCTAATATCAGAGTTGGACATTGTCTTATATCAGAGTTTGTCATTGTCTAATATCAGAGTTGGACATTGTCTTATATCAGAATTGGACATTGTCTTATATCAGAGCTGGACATTGTCTTATATCAGAAATGGACATTGGCTTATATCAGAGTTGGACATTGTCTTATATCAGAGTTGGACATTGTCTTATATCAGAGTTTGACATTGTCTTATATCAGAGTTGGACATTGTCTAATATCAGAGTTGGACATTGGCTTATATCAGAGTTGGACATTGTCTTATATCGGAGTTGGACATTGTCTAATATCAGAGTTGGACATTGTCTAATATCAGAGTTTGACATTGTCTTATATCAGAGTTGGACATTGTCTTATATTAGAGTTGGACATTGTCTAATATCAGAGTTGGACATTGTCTTATATCAGAGTTGGACATTGTCTAATATCAGAGTTTGACATTGTCTTATATGAGAGTTGAACATTGTCTAATATCAGAGTTGGACATTGTCTTATATCAGAGTTGGACATTGTCTTATATCAGAGTTGGACATTGTCTTATATTAGAGTTGGACATTGTCTTATATCAGAGTTGGACATTGTCTTATATCAGAGTTGGACATTGTCTAATATCAGAGTTGGACATTGTCTTATATCAGAGTTGGACATTGTCTTATATCAGAGTTGGACATTGTTTTATATCATAGTTTGACATTGTCTAATATCAGAGTTGGACATTGTCTTATATCAGAGTTTGACATTGTCTTATATCAGAGTTGGACATTGTCTTATATCAGAGTTGGACATTGTCTTATATCAGAGTTGAACATTGTCTTATATCAGAGTTGGACATTGTCTTATATCAGAGTTGGACATTGTCTTATATCAGAGTTGGACATTGGCTTATGTCAGAGTTGGACATTGTCTTATATCAGAGTTGGACATTGTCTTATATCAGAGTTGAACATTGTCTTATATCAGAGTTGAACATTGTCTTATATCAGAGTTTGACATTGTTTGATATCAGAGTTGAACATTGTCTTATATCAGAGTTGGACATTGTCTTATATCAGAGTTTGACATTGTCTTATATCAGAGTTTGACATTGTCTTATATTAGAGTTGGACATTGTCTTATATCAGAGTTTGACATTGTCTTATTTCAGAGTTGGACATTGTCTTATATCAGAGTTTGACATTGTCTAATATCAGAGTTTGACATTGTCTTATATCAGAGTTGGACATTGTTTTATATCAGAGTTGGACATTGTCTTATATCAGAGTTTAAGATTGTCTAATATCAGAGTTGGACATTGTCTTATATCAGAGTTGGACATTGTCTAATATCAGAGTTGGACATTGTCTAATATCAGAGTTTGACATTGTCTAATATCAGAGTTGGACATTGTCTTATATCAGAGTTGGACTTTGTCTTATATCAGAGTTGGACATTGTCTTATATCAGAGTTGGACATTGTCTAATATCAGAGATGATTATTGTCTTATTTCAGAGTTGATCATTGTCTTATATCAGAGTTGAACATTGTCTTATATCAGAGTTGAACATTGTCTAATATGAGAGTTTGACATTGTCTTATATCAGAGTTGGACATTGTTTTATATCAGAGTTGGACAGTGTCTTATTTCAGAGTTGGACATTGGCTTTTATCAGAGTTGGACATTGGCTTATATCAGAGTTTGACATTGTCTTATACCAAAGTGGACATTGGCTTTTGTTAGACAATACTGAACGAACACATCAGACATATGATATTTTCATGCCATATAATGCTGTCATGACGTATGATGTTGTTATGACATATGATGTTGTTAAGCTACAAGTGCCTTGGTTATCAAAGGTTTGATGGGT